GCAATGAGGACAGCTCTGGAAATCATATTACTTTATTTAAAGACTGGAGGCCGGATTTTGGTTGAGAACGTGGGCTTTAAGTCTGGTTTTGAATCCTGCTCTGGTACTAACTTGCTGTATGATTTAGGCGAGTGATTTTACCCACTTTAATCCTTGGGTTTATTTCATTTTATGAAGGTGATAATGCCTACTTCATGCAATAGTTATGCAGATTAAGTATGCAAACTTACATAGCCTTTGCGATGGTATATGGCCCATAGCAAGACCTCAATAACTTCAACTTTGATTGTTTTTACTGTTACATGTCTCTTGAACACTTCATTGAGCTTCAGTTTCCCTAGTTAAAAAATGGTTCAAAAATGTAAATAAATAAAAATTGGATGAATGATAACTTTAGTTTTTGTGGATATTAACAGTGTATGTAAAGATACTTGGTAAAGTGAAAAATTCCAAATAGCCAGAAGGTGCGGTTACTGTCATTATTTTACTGGTACTTGGGCTGTCATTACAGAAAATTTAGGAAAGGTCCATTTGAAATAGATACAGAATATTACTGCTCCTCAGAGGAACAGGTGCATTCACCCATCACGTCCCATTCCTGTCTACTTTTTGGTGTGCAAAGCTGCCAAATACCTGCTGTGTGTATAAGTTGGATAAACTTTGAAATAAGGATCAGGACATCCTCTGTTCCCTCTGAGAGTAGTGTATACAAGGGGGAGACTTGCAGATTTTACATTTTACAACTGCTCCACTCTTGTCATTCCTGGAGCTTAAAGTTAGAACGTGATTACCAATGCCCATCTGACTGCTAAGCAGCCAGAAGCTCAGATACTTGCAAATTCCACCAGTCTTCATCACTTCCTTTTCCACAAAGGTGGCACTTTCATGCCTTTCTTCATCCTCTGGGGAACTGGTCTCAGAAGCAGGTCCTTGACCCCGTTTTGGGGGACCTGGGGTTTATTGCCGTGGCTGCCCAAATCCCCTTTCTCAGTGAATTTCTGTCCTTTGACTTCTCATGTCTGTGACTCCCATGTGGAAGTAGAGGGAACTGGTGGATAAGAACTGCCTCTGGCACCGTCTGGTATCCTCAGGCAGAGCTGTGTTGGAACCCCACTTCTCCCAGCTATCGCTTGCAGTTGTTTGGCCTGGCTTACGTTATTTATTCACTCTGATACTTGCTTACTCTACCTGTAAATCATAATATATATAATATAATATAATATAATATAATATGTATTATTATAATTTTAATTACTTATTAATTATTTAATAACATAATATAAAATGTTATCTACTTATATATAAATATATATGATAAATATATATACTGAGCAAGATTTTTCTGAGAGAGAATCAGTTGAAATAATGTACTTAAAATATCTTCCAAAGAACACTAGTGCAGAGTAAATGCTTTTTTGCTCTCCTGTTCTTTCCCTTTGATTTGTAATAATTCATTAACAGTTATTCTGCAACTTTGGCTTTCTAGACCACTCTTTCCCATGCATAAAATGAAGTTAAACTCAATGACTTATAATTCCTGTACAGTAGTGAAGTTCTAGAATTCTTACAGTTCAGGTGCTGTGTGAGAGGAATAAATGAGGTTGCTCTGCACATTCTTAGGTAGGTGGGATAAAGTCATAGTGATTGAACAGGGAGAATTTGATCTAGGTGTTATTGAATAAGTACGATTATGATAAGCAAATGGGTATTGACAGAAGGAAGAAAGACATACAGAGTCTAATGCTTTATTAGGTTCAACAAAAGCTGTTTGGATAAACTGATTCACACCAAGGTAATAGAGATTCTCCTGAGCTGTGTTTGTAAATTTGAAAAAGGGCAACTTACAGGAAGCATGAGTTTTTTTCTTGGGAAGGCAGTATTTCTCCCTGGCCCTTAGTCTACCCTGGCAGGAGTGCCGCAGGCCTTCCAGGAGGCACAGTTCCTTGCTGGGCAGTAATCTGCATGAGAGCAAGGACTTGGTCTGTTGTTGCCAGGCATACTTGCTGATAATTGAATTTTGGATGAGTAAATGAGTATCAGTGATGTACCTAAAATATTAATGCTTGAATGTGGAGTAGGATCCAGAAGAAGAGAACCTAGTGATCATTGTATAATAGCAAGTCTCCTGGAACACTTCCTGAAGATACCCCAGAGCACTTTTGCAAATGCTGATTTTTTTTATTTTTAAGCTTGTAGACAGCTTTTTCTTGTCTGTCGTACAGCTGTGAGTGTGGAAGCACAAGTCTCTAGGGACCTGAGCATATGTTCTCTCCCTGTGAAAACCTGGGAGAGAACCCCAAAGGACACATTGTACCCCTCTCCCAGCCAAGAAAGGAAAATCCTGCTTGAAATGCTCCCTTGGTCAATGAGTAAAACTGTGAGCTGGGAATTCAGCTTTATAAACTTTTTGTGTATTAGAATAAAAGTAAATTGATGTATGAGGCTAAAATTCTGCATTCAATTCTTGATCTTTTACCATAAAGTGTTTTATGAAAACCTCTCTAGGCTTTATTTTTCTCCCCCATAGATAAGGAGATTAAGCCAATGGACATGGCAATATACCTTCCATGTCAGTCCTCCCAGTTGTTGCCATTTTATTGGCATCTCCTAGAACTGAGGAGCCAGAATAATACTTAGATTTTTCTGGTTCAGCTTTCTCATTTCACAGATGAGAAAACTGAGGTGTAGAGAGGTGAAGTCTACTGCTGATGGCCGCAAAAAGTGTTAGAAGCAGAGCTAGGATTAGAACCAACATCCTTAGGCCACCAATCCAAAGGTTCTTAAACTTATGAGTCAGTGTCCAACTTTAAAAATACCATGACAGCTGTATGGAGTGGGGGGATGGGATGAGGGCAAATGCCTCATAGGGGAACACATAACATTTGCAAATTATTTAAGCAGGCAAATTGTGGTGATGATTCCAGGATTCCAGGCGAAAAGCCTTCATGCTGTGCTGTATTACTCAAAGTAGATGTTGTAATTAGCTGTTAAAAAGCAACATAGTTACATGTGAGAGAAAGTGTGGCTTTGGCTTTTATATTTTATTTTATTTTATTTTATTTTATTTTATTTTATTTTTTGTTTAATAACTTCATTTGTGGAGAAAGCATCTCAACACAACTGGAACAAGTTTGGGTTTATAGCTCTCTCCAAATAAGTCTTACCTGTTTTGTTGTTGGCAGTGTCTGATTTTTAAAAAGCCAATTCCCTTTTTAAATATCACAGCTGTTGTTCCTCTTACATATACTTCTGCTAAATTCAATGTTTGGCTTATCTCAACCATAGCCAGAAAACACAAGGAGGAGCTGGTTAAAGAGAAAAGTTTTTCTCATTAACTGGGTCTGAAATTGGTCTCAAACTGAATCTTTGGGTTAGGTGTATTAGGGTGATCTGTCTTCCTTGAAATATATAGTTCTGGACCCTATGGTAGATCTCTTGATTCAGAATCTTTAGGAACTAGGGCCAAATCTTTATTTTTACAAACCTCTGAGTACTTCTTATGCACACTCACATTCAAGAATTGCCTTCCTCAATACTTGCCCAAACATTTTCATCTTTAATAATATGATTCTAGTGCTCATTCTACCCTAAATGACTCTTTGGCATTTAAAATGTTAAGGTAGTACAGAATTCAGAAAGCATATTTGAAAAAACGTAAGTGTATTTTGCTAAAGTTGGTAATCTTGAATTTTTTCCAACAAAATACTTTTTCCCCCTCAATTGAAATACATGGGGCTGTGCTATGGATAATGCCATGATAGGCTCTGTGCAGGGTATAGAGACTTCTCTGTTGCCCTGATCTGAAGGGAGCTTCCTTAGTTTATACACTCATTTTTATCTTCACAATTGCATATATTCTTGCCATCGAAGAATTACTTCCATAGTTCTGCTTTTTTTTTAATATAAAAATATGAGGTGTATAATTCCAAAAATTACTTTAGCAAATGGTAAATATAAAATTTATGTCTCCTCTTAGCATTAAACAAACTAACACGCACACTCATACCCTGGTAGAACAAAAACCCATAGAAGTATTACTATGTTTGACGTTTTCTAGCTTTAAAATACCTTGGTTCTGAAAGTGAAAGAAACAAATGTGTGGTAAACAAGTGAATGGATATCTCTTACTCTGAATGAAACTACAGAGTTACCCAGACGCATTTGAAAACATGTCTCCCTTACCCTCCCACCAGCAAAAGACCTGGAACCCCCAATGTGTCTGAAAGACCCTACTCAGTTGAGGGCCACAGGCTTTGGGTTAAGCCCAATGGACAATGCATTCTGACCTAAGGCTTCAGGGGGTCCCTAGAGATGTTCATGTATCTACTTTTCACCCTCCTGTATTCAGGTTTTGAATTCTCGAGTTTCCCACTGGGCTCATATCATTTCTGTTTCTGTATAGCCACTTCTGGTTTCAAATCCCTCTAGTTAAGTAGTATAGTCAGATCTGTACATTCTTACCTGCAAAGCTTCTATTCCAAGAGTGATAGGGAGAACTTGGAAGCCTCCCTAAAGTAGGAGTATAGGACATTGTTGGGGTCCTATATTCACTCTGAAGCGGCACCCAGTCAAAACCCAGATGCTCTGGACTATCCAATGCTTGGCCCATAGAATGTCCACAAACTTTTCAGTCAGGTAAACATATACTTCATTAAGACTGGATTTGTTCCTTTCCTTTCCATGGAAACTGTGTCCCTATTGTACGTTATTAAAACTACCCATGCAGTGTGCACCATTATTCTTTTTGCTTGCATTTATGAATGGCGTGTTCTCAATAGGAACATCCAGGTGGAGATCAATAATCAGTCTCCTAGTTAGGGAAGAAAAAAAAAAAAGAAAATCCATTGGTGCACTGCATTCAGCTGTGTTTAAGAGGTCTTATCATTAAAACAGCAACAGGCATTCATAAACCAAACTTGCTGGCAGTGCTGGACATGCAGGATTAAAATAATTGTCCATCAGCCTCTGTCTCATAAACGTTTTCCTGTGACTTTTGGCAGAATCACCAATCTGAGCATATGCCACTTGACATGGGAACACTGAGGCCAGCAATTTAAGGATTTTCACATTTATCTGCAGAGGTAAGATTTAAAGATATTACAATGAAGGACATTAAATAATACTGGGTTCTGGCTTTTTGTATTACATACGAAAGTGAAGTTGTTTACATGTAATTTTTTTTGACCCATATGGGTTTCTATCCCATTATCTTGTATAAAACCAAAATAAACACAAGAAAAATTTATAGTCCATAAATGTTGAATTTAGAATTTTTTGCGTTGGTGAAAATAGGGAAACTAAGTAATACCAAGATTTTTTTTTTAATTTTTGTACAATTGGACCAAGGGGGAGAAATAGTTTCCATTTTGAACAATGAAACTGTTTCTATTCAGAAGAGATATGATTATTAGGGCACAAAGGAACACAAAAGTTAAGATCATTGGGAAAAAGGAAAGGGGATGTGATTCTGTTTTCAATACCTTATGGTTCAGTCATAAACTCAGTATGGGTCCAGAGACTAGGTTTCTAAAAGAATCAAATTGGTAGTGAATCAGGTGATTGCATAAAAATGAAGACTGCCTGATGTTGATGGTGTGGTGATATACTGGATGCTTGTTGATTTCAGAGGCACAACCCGATGATGTCCTTAAAGACAGTCATAATGATGAAGATGTTGGCAGATGGATAGTAAATTGTGTTATTAGAAGTTTGTTTCGAAAAGAGAAGTCTTCCACTTTGTGTGTATTTACATATATGTGTCACACACACACACTCTTAGATCTGAGATCAAATAAAATACTGAATAAAATATTAATTACATATTCCATATTTTATGGTATAGAACAGAGTGTCTAGATACATTTCAAATGTAAAGTAGAAAATGTATCATAACGTGGTTGACTGGAGTCCAACAAGATCATCTATGCACCAGGTAGATTCTTTGGACTCTGAACTGTTGAACTGAAAAGGTTAAATTTAGTAACAATATTCATTCCATTACCAACTTCAGGGTGAGCCAGATCTTCATAGGGTGAGACTATATTCTGCATTTTTTAGTTCTCTGATGGCTACCATCTTAGTATATTTTCCACATATGTCTGGGTCTCCATTTTTATGTGTCCCTGTAGCGGGTCCATGATACACTGAACAAAATGTGACTCAACCAACTTCTTTGTCCATTTTTGTATATCACAGATGGCCTTATATCTGTGAATTTTCAAAGAATATATTTTGGCGATTCAGTATTCAAATTTAGTCTTCTGAGTATATTCCTCTCAAATTTCCCTGCTGTTTTATTCAGTTATATTATTAAGGTAACTTTTAGTTTAACAGCTTGTATTCACATAATCTATTTATGGAACAATGGAAGAATGATTATTAAATAGCCTGGAAGATGCATTACTTAAAATTGATACCTGAAAATGACGGCACAACCTCACACTTTCATACATATAAAAGTAAATGAATGTACTATTATGGTGTCTTTTATCTGAATACCACATTCCTTTTAGAAATTAAATTACTTTGTGTTTGAGTTTAATGTTTTATTTCATGATTTAGATGTGCTTTCTAGGAACTCCCACCAAGCTCTAACTCCCATACATAAGTCATGGTTTCTCATATATACACGGAATTTAAGATAACATCCTAATGAAAGTCATTAAATCTCAGATATCATAAGGGCCAGAGTTAAACTGAACAGGGCTTTTTAAAATCCCCAAGGCTGGGCAGTTTGAGGAGAAAAACAAAAGTGAAAGAAACATGCATGTAGATTGGCCTTAATGAAACAATAAACCTCCATGGAGGCTGTCTGCTCACTCACTTCTGGACCATGGAAGTCATAGTTTCATCTGAGCTCTGTATATCAAATTATGTTTTCTGTTATCAAGAGTGAAAGCCTACCAGAGAAACCCAATAGATCATGCTGAACAGATTTGTGTCCCTTGGGGTATGGGAAGTTTTTCTTGAAAGAAGACTTGGAGCGCCTAACCTCTGGAGCTCCTAATCAGAACCAGGCGGTACTGAATCCTTTTGCAACAGTGAGAACACTGTTGACCAGATAGACTTGTTTGGGAAAGAAGACACAGATGTAGGGTGGTATAATAGAGGAATGATTTAGGAACCAATGGACCTAAATCCTAATCCCAACATTATAGTGACTTAGCTAGAGAAGTTTTTTGTTTTTGTTGTTTGTTTGTTTTTCTTTCTTTTGCCTCTGAAATCTTAATCACTTAACTCTTGTGCCTTAGTAAAATGAGGTTAATACTCACTGTACTCCTCTGTAGATTTATAAAATGATAAAATAATAAATGGGAAACACTTTGAGAAACTTAAAGTCATTACACAGAACTTAGTATTGCTAGAAAATTGAATCCTTATTAATAGCACTTGTCTGATTTGGGAATTATGTCAAAAAGTTTCTTAACAGGTCGTCATATATGCCTTCACATTGAGCAAAGTCTTACAGTTGTTCTGAGCTCTAATATATTTGCTTTTTCTCTAAATTGTGTTAACTACAAAAGTCAGTTGTTATAACTGCCCCTGACTTGTATCTGAACCAGTCTCTGGTGTTATGATGCATTGACCCCAAATTTCAGTGTCCTAGAATTACTCCAAAAGGACAGCATGGGTGAGAATGAAAAAATATTTATGATACATTCCTGTCAGCTGGGTAGGGAAGAAAGGATCTCTAGGGTTGATTCTTGAGGTGAATAAGTCCTTCCCAGACTTCTCACTCTATTTTTTTTCAGATATATACTTTTTTTCTTACTAAACCAGAGTTTCTGCTTATCTTCCTGCCCCTTATCTTCATCTCCATCCCTTTCCAGTCTCCTTTCTCCTCTCCTTCACAACTCAGAAAGTCCTTTACTTGTTTACAGTGCAGCTTTTTTTTTTTTTTTGGATATTGACCCACAGCCTTTGACTTCCATAAATCCTGCTTTAAGTGTTTGATATCTAAGATAAATATACCCCTATAGCCCTGAGTTTACTTTCTGACTCCATTTCACTACAAACATAGACAGTCAATATGAATTGGGGGTGGGGAAGTGTCTTGGGCCAAAAAACAGTTTGCTTGAACACACTATAGTCTTTGCCCCTGCAAAGAACAGTTAATCACGTGTCCTTTAGGAATAAAGCCATAATGAATCAAGGAAATACAAGTCAAAACCACAATGAGATACTATCTCATAGAGGCAGAATGCCTAAAATGAACAATTCAGGAAACAACAGATGTTGGTGAGGATGTAGAGAAAGGGAAACCCTCTTATACTGTGGGTGGGAATGCTAGCTGGTGCAGCCACTCTGGAAAAGAGTATGGAGGCTCCTGAAAAAGTTAAAAATAGAGCTACCCTATGACCCAGCAATGGCACTACTAGGTATTTATCCAAAGGATATAAACATAATGATTCAAAGGGGCTCATGTGCTCCAATGTTTATAGCAGCAATGTGTATATAATGGAATATTACTTGGCCATAAAAAAGAAAGAAATCTTGCCATTTGCAGTGACATGGATGGAACTAGAGGATTTATACTAATTGAAATAGGTCAGTCAGAGAAGGACAAATATATTATTTCACTCATATGTGGAATTTAAAGAATAAAACAGATGAACATAGGGGAAGGGAAGGAAAAACAAAATGAAAACAGAAGGACACAAACCATAAGAGACTCTTAACTATAGCAAACAACTTGAGGGTTGCTGGAGGGGAGGTGGGTGGGGAGATGGGATAACTAGGTGACGGGCATTAAAGAGGGGACTGGGTGTTAAATGCGACTAATGAATCCAAAATTACCTCTGAAACCAATAACACACTATATGTCAATTAAATTGAATTTAAAGTTAAAAAGAATAAAGCCATAATTATTAGAAAACATGACTTAGGTAATATATAGGAAATTCCAACAATTACATGTTACAGAAAATCTTCCAGATTTCCCAGTTTATCTAGTAATGTTAGAAGCAATCAAGGACTATTAATAATGGATGGAGTTAAATATAGTAGTCCAAATTTTTATCCAGAGTGCCAGAGAAGAATGTTAACCTAATTGATGTGGGTCAGAGAAATTGGCTGACATATGAAATACCAACCAAGTTTATCACCCATTTAGTTTTTTTAGGGATAAAATTTGCACATCATCCAAAGTTCATTGTGAACTTTGTCGTGAAGCTGTTTACCTACATGCACTATCATCCTCTTCCCTGGTCCCAAGACCTCCAGCTACAGGGTAGCATCATTTTTACCTTCTTTGACTAATTAAACCCATCCTCATTCCTACTAATTTATTCTACTAAGAGGACAAAAGTAACTAATGATCCTTCAAGCTTGGGTATGTTTCATTCTGTTTTTATGTTAGAATCTAGTTTAAATTTTCTTTGGGTCACAAAATTCTGCAACTAATCTGGAAGAGTAACCAAAGAGAATAAGATAGGAATAAAGTTAAGTATGGGAAATGTTATTTCAGGATACTCCATACAGATTTTTTTGTGTGTTTGTAATTGACCCAATTAGTCTAAAAACTGTGGTTTTTAATCATCAGAGCAGACCATACTACTAAAAGTTCAGTGAAACAATTTTCTTGGGATCTAGCTGATCTGGATACTATTATTTTCAGTATTCCCAATTCAAAAGGTAATATCTCTTTTCAATCATTGACCTCTTCTTCTCCCCAAAGCAAAAATAGGAGATGAGATATAATCAGCAGAGAGGAATCCTTAAGACCCTCCCAGTAATGGGATCATGAAATGATAGAAATTGATAGAAATTCAAGTAGAGTCTCTAAAATCTCAGCTACTTTGATTAGTGTTTCACTGAAGCTCCAGAAAACGACAAGTATTTTCTATTCTAGTCACCCACTATTTCTTTGCAGTGGATCAAAATAACCCATGTCTAACAATAGGAACCAAACAACCACCATATCTGCAATGGTCCCATCTATCATTCAGACATTTTTGGTGTAATAAAGTCAAAAGTGAATTTTCTCCTTTTATTTTTAAGTTTTGCATCTGACAAAATGTCATTAGAGCACAGTGACTTATGGAAAATTGGAATAGATTGAGAGCCTCTGATAAAAGACAAT